ACTCAGCAGTGTGGCCAGCAAAGCTTCTCTGCCTCTGCTGCTCATCAGGTTTGACTTCAGTACAGATGGAGAAGGTTTTCACACTCTGGAGAGGTTTTCTTCTCTCAGCTTTGCTCATCGCAAAGTTAGGTGGCTCATTTGAGATAGAGGCACCTGCCAAGGAAAAGTCACTGCTCCTTAGGCTGCATAGTGACTTCAGCTAAAGCAAAGTTAAGTGCCATCAATCTCCTGCTTTGTTAGCAGACTAGTGCAAATTTGGGGTTTTTCCATCCATTTTGTCTTGCTTCCTCCCCAAGCAGATTTTTTTTTCTTTATTTTTAAAGCTAATGGATATTCTGGGAGCTAAACCAACAGCCTTGACATTGTGGTAATTGAAATGTTTCACTGAAGTTTGCTGAACTGCCTTGACACATTTCTTCTCAAATTGGTTCAAGCTGAAATGCTGTTTCACAGACAATATATTGTGTGTGTTGTATTTGATCAGTGGATTGAGAACTTCTCCTGTTTACCAAATAATCACAGAATATTCAGAACTGGAAGGGAACCACAAGGATCATCAAGTCCAACTCCTATCCCTGCACAAGACATCCCTGAGACTCACACCATGACCCTGAGAGCATTGGCCAAACACTCCTGGGCTCTGTCACCTTGGGGCTGTGACACTGCCCTGGGAGCTGTTCAGTGCCCAAACACCTCTGGGGGAACAACCTTGTCCTGATCTCCAGCCCAAGGCTCCCCTGACACAGCTCCAGCCATTCCCTGTGTCCTGTCACTGGTCACCAAGAGCAGAGGTCAGTGCTGCCCTTACTCTTCCCCTCATGATGAAGCTGTAGAGAGCCATGAGGTCTCCCCTCAGCCTCCTCCAGGCTGAATTATCTTTATAATCTATTCATCTAAGCCCACTCACAGACACATTTTTTCCCCAAATAACAGCAAGGTTTGCAGTGTGTTAGAACACTCCTGGCTGTGGAGTCTGTGGGCAGTGGAGCAGCAGGGGGAAGGTGAAGCAGATGGTGGCCAGGGGTGCTCAGAAGGTGGTAGGAGAAAGGTCCTGCCCAGGAGACTGACAGGTAGAGCAACACACAGCTGTGAACAGACCCAACCTGCAGTTAAGGAAACCTCTTGGGTCCTGGGGTTTCATCTGGGAGCAGAAGAACCTCCTTGAGTCTGAGGCTTCAGGGGGAAGCTCTAAGACCCCACTCAGTCACCACATCTGCTCAGTTCTCGTTGCACAGCGTTGAAAAACAGCTTTTCATGTCAGTGCTCAGTGATGCTCCCATCTCTCACTGAGAAATGGCAGTAACTGGAGTGCAGCCCCCAAACCCAAGTGTGCCACAGGAGCAGCTTTACTGAGGGCAGAGATGAGATTGAACTGTGTCCTACAAGCAAGTCTTGGAGCCAACAAGTAGTGATCATATTTTATTGATCCCTAAACATATTTCTTGCCCAGTTCCCTCCAAACCCAATCTAAATTATGAATATTTGCTTATTACTGATTATTAATGCATGGGAAGTGCTGTATATGAGTAATGCATTCTTTCAGCCTTCCTCATTGCTCAGTTTTCCCTCAGCTCTCCTCATTTAAATTCTGAGTGAAGTGAATCACGAATGTTTATCTGCATTCACTGCAGTGCTTGGGGATCCTCAGCTCATGCTGAGGGAATAGCACCTCTCTCTGGCAAAGCAGAACCAGGGCCAATTCCCAGTTAGTAAAATGCTTCAATCAAAGGGAATTTTTAGGAAGGAAGTTTGCCATGAGGGTCCTGATCCTGAATGCACTGCAGGCACCAAGACAGACATTTGAGATGAGATCAGTGTCTAGACTTGAGTACTTGTTTTATTTAAGATAGGAATCGTTCTCTTCTCCTCTCCCTTTCCCTCAGTGGGCAAAAGATGAGAGAAGAGAGAAGTGAGATGAAGAAAACTCCCATTGCACACACTGAGAATACGACATACATGAAAATAGCTGTTCTCTGTGTCAGACTCCACTGGGAGGGAGTTGGGAGCATGAAGCTTCTTCTTTGCTGCGTTTCAGGTCTGCACTGAGCTAAAACCCACAGCAAAAGAGGCACTTAGCCAGCAAAGGGCAAACAAAACCTGTTCAAAGAGTTCTCCACTGGACAAGTATTGCTCCCAAAACCTCATCCCTCAAGACTTTGACCCAAACGAAGAGGTTAATTGCCCCAAACTGAAGCTGGAGCTGTCCTGCCAGATGGTCCAGGTGAGCTGACTGAGGGTCAGGTAAATCCAGCCAGGATGAGACACCTGTGGGAATTCTGTTTGATTCCTGCAGCTGCTCACCTTGAATTCCCTCTCTGAGGTGGCCAGAGCAGGGACCACAGAGCAATCCCAGCCCCTGGGGGTGAACTGCAGCTATTTCTGACCATTTGGAGCCAAAACACTCAATAGAGAGAGGCCACGAGCACTGAGAACAGAAGCACAGCCAGCACAGGCATGGCCAGGCTTTGTGTCACCATGTAATGCACAGAGGGATCGATTTGGGCATTTTCTGAGGGAAAATGTGTCCGTGCTTCAAGTGTGAGGACGTTTTTTACACAAATCTGGGCCAGGATGTGTTTGAGCCCCAGAGAAGATGGAGAGACAAGAGGGACTGGAGGAGACTGTGCCCTGAGAGGGGACAGAGGGCTCAGCACCTTCACTGCTGAACTCTGGAGAAGATGCAGCAAAATACACTTCAAGACATTTCAAGCTGTTTTTTCAAATAGCAGAGGCCAAATACTGCAGCTTTGTAAGCTTGAAAATGCTTGATATAAAAAATAACCAGAGGAAGTGCAATAAAAGCAATATTTAATGCTGCTTCCATTGATATGGATAAGGCATTAATTAGCTGTTCTTGCTCAGCACAATTCTCTTTCTGTGCTTACAATCACATTCAATAGGAAGCAGAGATCTCTTGTCACATCAAAGCTCAGGGACAGCAGCCACCAAGTGCTCAGGACTCTCAGGAATAACCTGCTGTCATGAGTGAAAGGAAGAAGGTGAAAAAGAAAGAATATTCTCCTCCCTTGGGGTGGAATCGGTTTAGTTGTATGTTTCTGTAACAAAAGATGGAGTTTCTCTTACTCATTCCAACTGATCTGACGTGTTTAGCAGTGTGCCCACCACAGTTTGGCTGGCAGGACCCAAGGGATTGGGATTTCCCTTTTTTTAGCATCTATAGCCCAAGCAAGTGTTTACAAAAGGCTAGTAAAGGAGTCCATACAGATCATAACTGCAGCACAATAAAATGGGAGTAAAAATAAGGACAACTTTGGGCAAAATAAAATATAATAATCAGTGACATGTCAGGGTTTAATCACATATAAGGAGGAAGGCAAAGCAGTTTCCTACTCTACTTTATGAGCAAAAATACATGTAATTTTAGCACTTTAATTACTCATGTACTTTACAGCCATCCAAGCCCTCATTTCATTTTGCTTTCTGTCAAACAGATCTCTGCGTAAGTACTGGATAGCTGATTTATTTTCCTTCCTTTGAAACCATGGCATTAGCTATTTTGTCATTTCATAATCAAAAAAAGCCTCATAAATTCCACTTTGCACCAGTGGCCACACTGGTAATAATGTTGTGCACGCAGAGAGCTTAACCACTCTCTCCCTCTGCAATTCCTGCTCCTGTTGTTTACTCCTGCTGAGCAGCAGGAACCTTCTGGGATGCTCAAAAATTACAGTGTGCTTAGAATTATTGTTGGTAAATTAATACAGAAGCACAAGTAAATACAGTGTGTAAATGTTTGTGTATTAACTCAGAGGGGGAATATCAGAGCAGTGGAAACTCAGGATCTAGGCTTAGTTCTGCCTGTTGAACAGACAAGATAATCAAAATGAAATCAAAATACAAATAGAGATTTGACTGAACTAGTTAGAAAAATATTTTTCCTCATGAGCTGTTAAAATGGAAATAAAATTCCCATTCAGATTTGCAATTTCTTTCAGCAATTCTCTAATTTACTTGTATCTGTATTGTGCTTCAGGATGGCAAAAAGGAAATTCTCTTGTTCATCACACTTTGGGAGAATGTTTTAGTGAATTATACTTGTCCTAAGCCTCTGTGACCCAAACTAACCTCCTGGAGCTCCTGGCCATGTGTGCAAAATCTGCTCTGCAGTTTCCGGAGCTTTATGAATTACTGATTCTCATGCTCAAAGCCTGAAAACAGAATGTGATAAGACAGCATTGCTGTTACGTTTGTGAGCTGAGAGAGATGCTGAGGACTGAAGTTCTTAGCCACTGTTGCCTATTTCATCCATCTGTCTCCATTTGTAGATGGAAATGTCCTCAGGGTTGGATGCTGTGTGCAACGCTCACAACTTATGGCAGTAGCACACTCTGATTTTAATATTTTACCATTTAAGTGGCATTGGAATGTAATACCAGAGTTGCAGCCTATCCTGAGTGGGAAGGGAGCCACAAAGACCAGTGAACCCAGTGCTGCCCTGCACAGGACACCACGGCAGACCCACCACTGCCTGGGGGTGCTGTCCAAACTCTGCTGGAGCTCACAGTGCAGTCGGTTCGTGGCAGCTCACACGAGGCTGTGAGGCATCACCAAACCTGTGCCACCCCAAAGCAGCTGTGAGGCCTGTCCCAGCACACTGGTCCAGTGGCTAAGCCCCAAGTGGGAGCGACAGGACACGAGGCTGATTTTGCTGTGGCTCATGGTACAACCTGTACAGCTGCAAAGCAGTTATGCCACAGCCTGGGGGTACCCCCAGCTCTGCTGCTGATTCCCACAGAGGCTGGCTCAGCCCTGCTCTGTGCTGGGGAGCAGTGAGCCCTGAGAGCCCTGCAGGAGTTCAGTGCTGCTGAACACAACCATTGCCCACGTGGGTTCGCTTGGGCTTTGCTCATCACCAGCTCTGCGGCCACTGCCAGAGACAAACAGGCACCTGGCACCAAACCCTGCCACCCCTGAGCTGGGCACCTGTGAGCTGCAAAGGATTCCAACCCAGGCAACACCCACCCAGCCTGGGCCAGTACCTCCTGTCCTGGTGCAGAACCTCTGAGCCCTTCCTCCAGGAAATCACAGCTCTGGGAGAAGCACTGGGTTTGCAGCCAATTGTAACTTCACCTCCAACTTGAACAACAGATATTTTTTTCACAGGATTTTTGGAGAAGTCAGGGGCTGCAGCTGCAAACAGAGAGGGAAGAAGAGCAGAACAATGTGCAGCTGACACGGTGCTAAATGAACTTGTTGAATTATCTCTGAGTTATACAGCTGGTGAATTCAGGAATTGCTTTGCTTTGGGGGTTTCTGTAAAGGAACATATAAATCTAGCATAAAAAATGTATATAAAAAGCAAATAGTAAAAAAAAAAGACACACAAAAAGTACATTAAAAAGTACATATAAAAAGGTACATTAAAAAGTACATTAAAAATACATCTAAATCTAACAGCAAAAAATGTACCAAAGAATTGAACTCATTGCATCTTATTCATTATTTATCTCTAATTATGTTGTTTCCCAACTCTGCCTAGAAGCTGCCTAGGTCTGACCACCTCTTCTGAGGGTTATGTGCAGACACAGGTCTATCTGCTGCAGAGAATGAGGTGCCTGAGGTTCCTACACCAGCAGGATAAGCATCACACTCCTGATCCAGCTGCTTGGATTCCTCTGCAGAGTATTCCAGCACAAGCAGTTTTACTATGGTTTTCTGTTCACAAACCTACAGTGAAAATCCATTTATTTTTCCAGTAGATTCAGTTGAAAATTCACTCTTGAAGATGGAGAAAACACAAGATTGTCCAACAGTTTTGTGCTCTTAAAGTCTGTGTTACTGGTTTCACTAATATTTGGTTGCTGAGCAAAATACTTTTATAATATAAGAACAAATTGCTTTTTATCTGCATCTCTGATAATCATTAATGAGACTCCTTGTTCTGTTGTTTGTTTATATCCATGTGTTGAAAATTCACTCTTGAAGATGGAGAAAACACAAGATTGTCCAACAGTTTTGTGCTCTTAAAGTCTGTGTTACTGGTTTCACTAATATTTGGTTGCTGAGCAAAATACTTTTATAATATAAGAACAAATTGCTTTTTATCTGCATCTCTGATAATCATTAATGAGACTCCTTGTTCTGTTGTTTGTTTATATCCATGTGTGCCCTCTCTGTGTTTTTTTTTTCTTTCCCCCATGTTCTGCCATGACTTTTAAAACCTGAAGAATAACTAATAAAAACCCAAAACAAGCAAGAAACAGCATTCATTAAACTTGTGATAAAAAAGGCCACACATGGATTAGATTCTTCTCCCAGACAAGTCATGGAATTGTACTAGTAAACCACATTTGCCTGTGGGTGAAGGGCAAACAGCAAAGAAATAGCAACAGGCCTGACCTGGCAGGAGGAATTTCATCTCTTCTTTCGTTAACTTCAGCTTTTTGCCATGGAAAAGTCCTTTATAGGCAGAACTTGCTCATTTTGGGCCTTTACTCACCCAAGACTCGCAGCTCAGCACTGGCATAGATAGTGTCATACTCGTTCTGTGCCACACACTGATAGAGCCCAGAGTCTGACACAGTGAGCACAGGGATCCTCAGAGTCCCATTGCTGACTTCAATTCTCTCCTGGGGGAAGCAAAGACAGGGGAGAACATTGGCAGAGCCAGTGAGTGCCCAACCCCAGCGCTCTACATCACACTGATTGGAATTCCCAAGGAGAAATGCTGTTTGCTTGGAGCAATGGAGCTAAATACAGTCAAAATATGATGCATATCTTTGCTGTGATGGTGGCTCTTGTCAGCTTTTAGCTCCTGCAGCTTCTCAGGCACTCCAGGCACAGGCTGCAGGCATTGCTTTGGGCAGGTTTGCCCAGCTGCTCCAGCTGTGGCACACGTTTCCCTGCACTGCTGAGCTGGGAAGCTGTGGGTTTGCTCCACTGTGCAGATGAGACAGAAGGAGCCACCTCAGGGCAGGTACAGCTGCTGCACATTGGGAGGCTGGAGCACCTTCCACACAGCTCCTGAGCTCCTCAGCCCTGGCTGAGGGAATGGGGAAACATCACCAACCCTCTGGTCCCACCAGCACCATCTGATAATGGGAACATAAGATGATGGGAAAACCTCCACAGGACACAGAGGTGCCACAAGTCACAGCAAAACGAGGCTCTGCAAAAGCTCTGCTGAAAGCCAACACAAATTCCAATTGGAAACCCCCAGGCAGCTGCTCAGAGCTTGGATTTCTGTACACACTCACTTTCCTCAGTGCAATTCTGCTGAAACAGAGGAAACTGCACAGGAGGTAAATTTGGATCAGAGCTGGAAATTTGGTGTATTAAAAGAAGTTTTATTTGCTCTATTTGGGAAAGTAGGAAAAAGCTTGTTTTGTGCTACAACCATAACTTAAAGCTTAATATTTTGTGATTTTACAATTACTACCCTCTGGGGACAATAACAGCTTCACTGCGAAGTGGAGCACCGAGAGGAGAACAGAACACATTCCCCAAAACAGATGACTTTGGAAGAAACCCACAGGGAATATAAATTCAGGCACCAAGTGCAAGCCTGAACAACAGATATTACTGCTGTGATTATGCTGCTCCTTTAGCCTGGCTCTCCTGCCAGGAAAGGAGAGTGCAGAGCATAGTTAGGGTACACAGCACAGTCCCTGATGAGCAGCTCCAAGTGTCTCAAATGTGGTTGTGAACTGCTAAACATGTCATGGAATCACGGAATGGCCTGGGTGGGAAACACCCTGAGAGATCATCCCATCCCACCCTGCCCTGGGCAGGGACAGCTCCCACCAGCCCAGGCTGCTCCAGCCCCATCCAACCTGGAACACTCCAGGGATGGAGCAGCCACAGCTGCTCTGGGCACCCTGTGCCAGAGCCTCAGCTCCTCACAGGGAAACTTCTGCCTCATATCTAGCCCACGTTTCCCTCTTTCCTTTTGCATCCCCAGTTCTCCCCCGAGGCTGTTTCCTATCCTCTCCATGAATATCAAACCCCCCTCTGAAGCAACACTCCTGTTCCACACAGGTCCCACATTCCCCACTGTTCTCTGCTGGCTCTTTGGAGCTGTGCAGACAGAGAGGAGAATGCAGCACACTGTGCACAGCAGCAGGAACAGTGCTGGGATGACCAGCTAGGTGCTCAGGCAGAAAAGTTTGACAAAGAGTAGACAATGTGCTCAGAACCAAGGTGAAATCTGGATGTTATTCCTCCTGTGAGACACCCAACAAGCAAAGTGCTGTGACAACCTGAATATTTTATTACACTTCCCTTGTACTTTCACCTCCAAACTATCCATTTTGTCCATTGAGCAATAGCATCCAGCATTTCGTCGCCTGAAGAATTCCATTTACACTACACTGTAAGTACAGTGGAAGCTGTTGAAAATGTGTCTGTGGAGTGTTTTAGCCTCTTTTATTGAAATGATGCGATTGAGGAGTGACAGAGTCTGAACATTGCTCCCTGCAAACAGAGAGAAACTAGGTAATCTTGCTTGGAGAGTGGTGGCAATGAAGAGAACGAGCAGGTGCAATAAATTCTGACTGTTCTCCCCCCGTGCAGGCTGGGGCTGTGTAGGGCTAATCCAGCAGAAAATCCTGTGAAGGTGGACCCCACTCCAACATCCTCAGGTAAGTCCTCCTAAATCAAGTAAGTGCTGGTGCTGCAACCCAGCAGGTGCTAATTCGCCCCATATGCTGTGGCAATTAGTCTGTATCTGTTCTTGCTAGGCAGAAATTAATCACTGCATTCTTTTCTCCCAACCAATGCATTTGAGATGAGCCATTCCATTTTATGCCTGAGAGAGGCTGAATAGATGCTTAGCACAACAAAACAAAAGGGCAAGGCTTGGCCTCAGCAGCATGCAAAGGCAGCACAGAGCCCCTTGCCACTGGAGTCCCTCTCCAGGAGGCTGCAGCGAGGGAGGGCTGGAGGCTGGATGTGCCAAAGCTTGGCCAGCACAGTGCAGTGGCTCTGCCTGGGAGCTGGGTTCTCACAGACCTGCCTAATTCAGCAGCTGGGCATGTTTCTCAAGTGTCTGAGCTCCAGTTGACTTCCCTTCTCCTCCTGCACTCCTCCCACTTCACTACTACCCATTCCACATCATCATCCTTCTCCCTGTAAGTGACATTTTTCACTTATTCACCTTTCCCCTATAACTTCCTATGGTTTTCTTTAGTCTGTTATTCCTCTACATTGCACCAGCAGAATATGAGTATCAGTGTTAACTGGTTTCATAGAATCACAGAGTGGTTCGGGTGGGAGGGACCTCAAAGACCACATTGGTCTACTTTTCCAGCAAAGATGAAGTCCAACAACTGAGGCTTTGTGCTGCAAAATTGGTGCTGCTCTATTTAGTTCGATATATTAATCTTTACCTACTTTTTGGACACTGGATTAATGTACTGTGAAATGAATGTTATGACTAAATCACAAGAAAACCACCCAAAAAGCTGAGAAAGAAAGCAAACAAGGCAGGAGCCTTACCTCTGGCACCAGGGGCTGACCATTTTTCAGCCAGCTGTAGGAAGGACTTGGCTTTCCTTTCGCCTTGCATTCCCAAAACAAACTGTCATAGAGGGGCAGAAAGGCATTTTGGATTTTTGTATCCCATTCAGGGAGTGCTGAAAAGAATATGCAAACCATTTTAAGCAGGAGAACAGGGATTTTGCTGGAGGTATGCTGCCATTAATTAATGAACTGAGCAGAGCTAATTAATATCTGTCCAACACATTCTTATTAGATTGCCATTATACAAGTCCCTGGCACTAAACTTCAGGCCAAGCTTGGGAAGAGGTTAGAGAGCCAAAAGGTTAGTGGGCAGGGAGTCTGGCTAAGGTATTATCCCTTTCTATGGCCCAAGCAGTGATTTGAGACGCCTGAAATTCAGGGTATGCTTGTTGGAAGCACTGGAACTCCTCCTGCAAATGATTCCTCCTTGAAAGGTACTTGAATCTATGTGCCAAAAGGAAAAATATCAAAATTATATCAATAGAAATATCAAAACTATTAGTCAATAACCAATAAAAACGATGCGCTGGAAATATTACCCCTCTGTTTCAGCACAGACCTGACACGATGTGTTCACAACACAAATACTGCCCAGAGGAGCCAAATATCACTTTCTGAGCACTTGTGGCACATTGACTCAACTCACTGTCGTACAGAAGCAGAATGTGAAGGAATCACACCGAGCTCTGCAAACAACTGAGGCTCAGGGACTGAGCTGAGCAGGAGCTATCTTGAGGCCTAAGTAAGTACTTAGGTGTTGGAAGATGCTCTAAGGTAGTCTAAGGACAGAGCTCTCCATGCTTGAAAGTGATTCTAATTACAGACACTTTCTGTTGCTCGCAGAGCCCCAGGCATGGGCTGGGCCATGCACAGAGCAGCAGCTGTGTCAGGAGACACACTCCACTCCCTGCAGAGAGGCTGTTCTCAGGGGAAAACCACCCCAGCCCAGACCCCAAGCAACAGGAACTCAGTGATGTGGAGAATATCCCAACCCACTCCCAACATGACCATAAAATCTCCTGCCAATGCTTCCTGAGTGCTGTTTATAGACTTCACCCTGAGCAGCTATTAATTAATGCACAAAGTTAATAAGCACATTGTTTTAGATTGAATTAACTGATCATCATTTGGTAATTGCCTATGCTGTTATCAATCACATCCAGGTAATCTACTGAACTTCATTTTAATGGAACCGTGTGATTGATGTTGGGAAAAAACTCGTGTGCAATGATGAGAACAACAACAAAAACAGCCCTAAAAGCAAAGAAATAATTAAATATTCAAAGCAGCAGCAGCCTGTGCTATTCCTGGCAGAGATCTTGATATTAGCCATGGCTGCAGGAGGCTGGAAGCTTATCAGCAAAGGCTGCAGCTCTTCATTAGAGGAGATTTAGTCAAAGAAAAATCCTTGCCAAAGTCTCTTTAACAGATGTTAATTGCAGGCTCAGTCTCAGATTCTGTGATTACTTTGCCTTGCTGTTGTGTTTCATATTTTTGCCTTCTCCTTTGAAAGTTTTATGAGGTAAAGATCTCTTCTCTTATTCCTGTGCAAATATGTTGCTTTCCTTGGGTATTAACAATGAAGTAAAGAGAACATCATTCCCCTTGGGTGTGTGGGACCATCAGGTGTGAGTGGGACTGCAGAAGTCAATGCACATGTGGAGGGATGAGGAAAGGGAGAAGAGCTTCCCAGATTGCTCTCGACTTTTAGCCAAGCAGGGAGGAGAGAGCAGCAGTGGAATTAGTTTCCCCTGCTTTGCTCTTGTCTGTTTATGAAGCAATAGAGCTCAGCCTGAACTGGAGGTGAACCAACGCCATCCATGATCTGGATCCTTCCCTGAGCTGCAGCAGGGGCAGCACAGCTCTCTCTGCTGGAGAGGGAATCTTTCCCTGCCCTTAATGCTCCATGGAAACAGCCCAGGGGTTCCTGTCTGCCTCGTATTGACCTTCCCAACGGCCTCATGGCCCAGCCCACACCGCGAGCCGAGTCTGGACGCAACGTCGCTGTGTTTGCTGAGGATGTTGGTCATGCTGAGGCATCCAGGGCACTGCAGACTCCAGTCAGTGTGTGGGAGCTCAGCCTGACCTGCAGCTTGGACCTCCAGGGAGGGGCTAAGAGAGTTCATCTGCAAAATCCATCTGAACACCAACATGCTCTTTAAAAAACATACAAATCAGATGAATCTGCTTACCATAGACAAATAATTGACCTCTTGCAGTGTTTGTTCCTCGACTGTTCCCTGCAATGCACTCGTAAGGGCCTTCATCCTCTTGCTGGACATTGGGAATTTCAAGGACTCCTTTGGTTTTGTTGGGTTCAATCTTCTTTGCCAGTGAGTTTCCATCAGACCTTTTCCAGCTAATGGTTGGGACAGGACTAAATAATTGGGTTTCATTAGAGAAAAAGAGAGAACATCTGTTACAGCAGAGAAAAAAAATGGAAAATAATTTCATAAGAGAATTATGTTTCAACAAAGAGAGAATTTCTAAGTATAAGTCAAAAGACCAACACTTTCTAACCTGCCCCATGTACTTAGGAGCACAAATGCAATGCTGGGATAAAAACCTCAGTCAATTCTATGATCTCTTCTTAGGCCAATTTGTATTTCCCCCTTAGCATCTCTCACCTGGGGCTCAAACCTTCCTTTGAACACCATGACACTGAAGGAAAGACTGTGCAATCCAACTAAGCACCACAGAAACACTGAATTATTGACTGGTTTCCCCAGAAAACAAATTCCCTGTGGCATTAGAGATATTTTCACATCCAAAAATAGGAACTATTGGCCAAGAATTCAAAGGATCTAAAAATACCAATAAATCTAGGTATAAGAAATGGGAGCAAACAGAGTTGAGAAAGAAGAGGAAAGAAAACATGAGACAGTGAGACTGAAAGGAGATAGAGACAAAAGGGTATATTTCTTTTTTCATGTTTTTGGAGCATCCTATCATTTTCCTTTCTATTTGGATCAATGTACTCCATATAATTAAAGAAACAGTCAAGTGTGAAGGCAGCTAAAAATACTTCTTGGATTTCTGGGAAGATCACAAGCCTTACAAGCCTCATTTTCAATCTATTATGTCACCAAAACACTTGGCAATATTAATAGTCTTGGATTTCACAGTTGCTTTGTGTCTCTGCAGACTGAAGTAAGTTGCTTTTTCTAACAACTTCAGTTTTGAACAGCTTTTTACAGAGGCTTTGGCTAAATGCTGATTTCTTTTCCATTGGAAGCAACATCAGCAGCAACTGAAAACACAAATTTCATGGAAACTAAATGCCCTTGATTCCAGGCTTCAAGGTCTCTGCCTTCAGCTCCTGGAAGATGCTCTGAGGCCTCCACACAACCTTCTCTTCTCCAGGCTGAACAGCCCCAGCTCCCTCAGCCTGTGCTCACAGGGAGATGCTCCAGTGCTCTGAGCAGCTCTGTGGCCTCCTCTGCACTTGCTCCAGCAGTTCCATGTCCTTCCTACACTGAGGCACCAGAATGGTGTGCAGTACTGCAGCCTCTTTCAATGCTTGACAACGCTTTCCATGAAGAAACTTTCCCTAATATCCAACCTAAACATCCCCTGGTGCAACCTGAGGCCATTGCCCTGTCACTTTTGCCTGGGAGAAGAAACCAATCCCCACCTGGCTACAACCTCCTGTCAGGTATTTGCAGAGAGCGACAACTTCTCCCTTGAGTCTCCTTTTTCTGCAGCCTAATCTGTCATGCCATTACTCATGCAGAATTCGTGTAAAGCAAGTTAGTTTCAGTTATTTATAAAGCAAGATCCTTGGAGTTGTTGAATAGAAACACAGCTCTGGTGCAGACTAGCTCTGTCCCGTGATTGCTGCGCTCCAGGCAGGAAAACAGCCGGAGGAGCTTTGGGCCTCGTGCTGGGCTGATCCAGACTTGAGGACGCGAAGGAGAGCGTGGCTGGCTGCTTAAATCCTGCTGCATATTAAACAGGGGGGGACTGGCTCCTGGAGAACACAAGCCTGCAGAATGCCAGAAGCATTTAACTACTTACTTTAAAGACATCTCTTCTGGATTTGAGCTTTTTGCTTCCTAACAAAGAGATTAAAGGGAAGTAAGAGCCATATGGGAGAGGAGAACAATAATTAGATGCATTCATCCATGCTCTGCTACCTGAAAGAGCTTCAGCTCAATATTTCCTCTCCTTTTAGCCCTTTGTTTCCTCTCAGCACTGGCTAGTCGTGACTGAGGGAAGTCTGGGCTGACACCAAGGCCTCAGGCAGTGCTCTGTGGGAAAATGCCCCTTCTGTCATCTTGTCAAGTCAAGTTTCCCAAGGCTTGGGCTGAAGACACTATCCTGTTTCCCTTCATCACACCACAGACTTCTAATGACATCCTTGGGGATGTTCCAAGGCAAACTCCCTTCGTTTTGGGCCAGACTCCAGGGGTTGGACATGCAGTCTGTGTCGTCAGCTGGAGAGGGAGGACAGAAGCCCCTCAGAGCCTGGTTCCTCAGCTTTGCTGTTTGAAGGCACAACTGCAAGAAACAGTGGAGAGGACTTTGTTCTCCTGCCGAGAGACTCACACCGCGTGCCCTGGTTTGTCTGCAGAGGGAATTCATTGGCAGGACAGCAGATCCTCAGCTGCCTGAGCTGTGGGTTACAGGAGCACGATGCAGGAGGGAGAAATGTAAACCACAGACATAGCTCAGGAAATACGTTCACCAGGCACGGAAATCCCTTTGCTTATTTTCATTCCAGGAACTATTCTTATTTATGCAACAGAAAACAGTTATTTTGGGAGAAACCTCCAGAAAGAATCACAGGGACTCAACATAATTCTTTCCATGGTGCTCAATCATTGGGTTCTCTGGCATGATTAATAGAGTTTGATCCCAACCAGGACTTTTAATCCTGGCAGAATATTAAACACTGTCAACATAATGAATATCGTGCAGGACACACAGCCTCATCTCTTCTATGAACCTGCCACAGGCTGCAGAGGTTGAAATAGTGAAGTTGCTATTTCATATTTCAGCTTGGCCTCTTTTAAAGAATTAAGACTCAATTTTGGCCTGTTTAGACAGTTGAACTCTAATTACAGGAGTTTTAACCCAATTACATTTTCATCTCAGTAAGGATTAATTTGCTTTTCCAACTCTTCTTTACTATTTGTGGTCTCTGCTCTACAAAATAAGGTTCAAAGTCAAGAACTCACCCAAACACATTTGGCCTTTTGAGATCCATCCCTCCAAACCCTCTTTCCAAGGACAAGTACTGACTCTTTGATCCCCTTATTTGCCTCAAGCCCGGAAGAACTTATGGTGCTGGTGGATTTGTAATGATATTTGAATGCAAAATGCAAAAGGAGCTCTGCAGCTCAGCTGTGTGCAATGCACCTGCCCCTGGGTGCATCCCAGCCTGGCCCAGGGAGCACATCTTAGCTCACTCAGAGTTTCTCCAGGTGGGAAAAAAAGCATCTTTAAGATGTTTTAAACTGACTTTTGAACTCAGCCACAAATTTGACCTCTTCTACCTGTGTTTTCAATGTGCAAGTGCCTTTTGAGTGAGGTCCAGCAGGTATGATTTGCTGTTCCACAGAGAAAACCGATGCTATTTCTCTAAATACCATGAAACTACTTTGCTTTCAGACTTTTTGCAGCCTGAAAACACAGCAGGTTGCTTATAATCTGCCTTCAGTGGCAAAGATTTCTGTTATTCATAGCACACAGGTAGCACAAGCATTGTCTGGAGCACTGGACTAACAGTATGAATATAGAAAATTATGGATAATGGGAAAGCAGTTCTGCTATCCAAGTGAGATAATAACCCTTAGTGCTTGTGGCAGATCAGAGGTAGAGCTCAACAAATGCTGAGCTGAATTGATTTGAACATAAACAGACAATAGTAGGGGCAGAGTTTTAGTGGAATTTCAGCATCTAAAGGTGCACATGGCCAAGTTGCTGCATTTATGTGCCTGCCTGGAATTGTAAACAGTCAGGGGGAGGAAACTTCCAGCTTTTCACCATCCAGTAATCCCCTGCATACCTGGAGAAATGTGGCCTTGTCTAATCAGTTGAGCATTTCACCTGCAATCTGGTTCTCTTGATTTATTCACAGAGAAATACCAGCTCTGAACTAAAGCTCTGGCACTGACTGACAGTGAAAATTGATTCATAGATTGTTCAGGGGTTGGGATGGAGCTCAGAGCTCCTCCAGCCCCAGCCCCTGCCCTGGGCAGGGACACCTCCCAGCAGAGCAGGTTGCTCAAGGCTCATCCAACCTGGCTGTGAACACTGCCAGGGTTGGGGCAGCCACAGCCTCCCTGGGCACCCTGGCACAGGGGCTCACCACCACAACAGGGAAAACTTCTGTCCAACATCTAATCTAACTTTCTTTCTTTCAATTGCTCCTTGTGCTGTCCCTGCTGCTCCTAACAGAGTCCCTCTGCAGCTTCCCCGTGGTTCAAGGCTCTGTTCAGAGAGGAAAAGCAGCAGACTGAAAGCTGGACAGTTCCCTACGAGAAATCTAACCTATAAGCAAAATCTAAGGAGGAAAAACTCTCCCGTGCTGCCACTGGAGCATTGTTCCACTGAAGCAATCACTCCACTGGAACAGGCTGAGCCTGTTGGGTGGAATTCAGCCCTGTGCCCAAAATGTGTGTGAAATCTCTAAGTTCTATGCATTTATGAGCTGAAGAACCCGATTTTATGCAAGTTCTACATGCTGTGTTGTGCATCAAGGTTTTAGTCAGAATTTAGGGTTCACTCCTCTGGCTAACAGAATTCTCCAGTGCTGCCCCCAGAGAGTCTCTGCTCACAAACAGCACCTCGACCACACGGTGCCCAGCAGGATGGAAGAGAGGAGGTGGAGGATGGATCTCTGCTGGGGATCCCTGGGATTGAGGCAGTGTCACTCTGGGAGCTGTGGCAGCTCTGCAGTCCTGTACATGAAGAAGCAAGAGGATATTAAAGCTGCACCAACCCTCTCAGCCTTCCATTTCCACACCCTGCACAGGAGGCACTGTGCTCCCTGAGGGACCTCATTAGCCACAGATCCTTTCAGTCCACCCTTTCCTCCTTCAGATCTTCTTCAAATGGCAAAATCTGTGCCTCGCATTGCTGTGACCCATCTCTACCCTTCGACGACATGTCCCTGGTTTGTGCATCTCATTTCCTCTGGTTTTAAAGTGCTTTTCTGCAGCCAATACATCATTGTTCAGTGCTTTCCATGCAACAGATGGGAATATGAAATGACAACTTGAAATGTAAAGCCTGCACGGACTCACACACAATTAAGGAGGTATTTAAAGAGGAGCTTGACAGTGTTTGGAGAAGAAAATCAGCTCCAGTTTGCTACTTGTTTTGGACCCAAAAAAAAATGCATATACCTTTAATAAAAATTAGCCCTAAGATTAGTTTATCTAGAAATCTCATCTGAAAGGCAAAGCCATTTCAATCTTATTAACTTTTTATTTGCTTTATTTTTCTCCTTCCCAGTGCAGGTTCCAGAGGCACATTTGATTAATTTGCGCTGTCTGCAAGTCAGGCTTTTAACCTCTGGGAAAGCTCTAAACACTTTAAAAGCTTACAGCCTTAAAATGGATTGGCAAAGTGAACTTAAACTAAATAGAGGTCAACAATCTAAGGGTTATTTTAGCTTTGCCAGGGAAAAAGGGATGCTCACTGGAAAGACTAAGTTTTTGTGGGCTGGTTGCATTGATTCAGTTAACCATCTGCTCTTTGAATACAGAGCAGCTCTTGCTGCTTGAGCTGCTGCTGGGAAGGGGCAAAATGGTATGAATAAACTTGCAGCAATACAGGTTACTGCAAGGAAAAGAGATTTGGAGTAGGAAGTGTTTCTGCTAGGGATTCCCATGGCACCTCAGCATTGCTCTGGAGATGTAAGTGCTAGGAGGGTCTGTTAGATCCCTCAGAGACAGTTCATAGCCCTTGAAACATAACCTGTTCCCCAACATGTAATTCTTAGCCATGAGCAAGCCCAGAGAAGGCCACGAAGTTGATCAGAGAGATGGAGAACCTCTGCTGTGAGGGAAGGCTGAGGGAATTGGGATTGTTCAGTCTGGAGAAGAAAAGGCTTTGGGGTGACCTATTTGTGGCCTCACAGTACCTGAAGGAGCTACAGAAAAGATGGAGAGACTATTTCCAAGGGTCTGGAGGGGCAGGACGAGGGGCAATGGCACACTGAAGATATTAGGAGAAAATCCCTCCCTGTGAGGAGCTGAGGCTCTGGCACAGGGTGCCCAGAGCAGCTGTGGCTGCTCCAGCCCTGGAGTGTTCCAGGCCAGGTTGGATGGGGCTGGAGCAGCCTGGGCTGGGGGAAGGTGTCCCTGCCCAGGGCAGGGGTGGAAATATATGATCTTTAAGATCTCTTCCAACCAAACCATTCCATGATGATCCTATGATCACACACACACACACAAACCCTATTTTGAGGTATATCAGCTGTGCATGTTCAGCTCCACTGAATGCTCCAGCCTGGAGTCAGGTCTCATCTCAGAGCTAAAACCACTCTTGAGGAATGCAATCTTTGTCCTGGTTCTCCCTCCCACACCTCCCTCCCCCTGTTTCAAGCTGCAGCTGAGTGAGCTTCAGTTAGCATAGTTTTCTCTCTCATTTCCTTGGGAACACATTGCACAGAAACCACCAAATCAAAATAAGGTTACCAGAAGTTTCACAAATTCCCATTCTGCCCCCAAAACACCTCCAAAGCACCCGTGTTTCTCACCGTGCAGGAGTGTTAGAACCCACATTCGAAGACAAGACAGAAATCTTACTTTCCAAGGGCAAAGCATTCCAGTCTGACGGTTGAGCCCTTCGCTGCATATGTTGTCTCTGGGAATCGTACTTCAATCTTTGGCTCATACTCCCCCATCACACCTGTGGAACAGCAGAACAGCTAGCACTCAGTGCAGCCTCACACCTGTCCAGTGCAACACAAGTGGAGGAAAGGGTGGCACTCATCACCCCAGAGCCCTACGCTGCGCCCCAGGGCTGTGCAGCAGGATGAGCCTCCCGTGTGGGTTCCACCCCACGCCAAAAACTTGTGGGAAATCTCTATGTTCTGTGCATTTAGGAGCTGAAGAACATGATTTTGTGCAAGTTATACAAGTACGTTGTGCTTTGAGGTTTTAGAGAATTTAGGGTTCACACCTCCTGTTAACAAGCAAGTCACGTTACCACCAGTCACTTCACCACGAGTCACTTCTCAGGAGTGTGACACACTGAGTAGATTCTGAGTGCAAGAGAAGGATGGAATTCTGTGTGCAAAATACTTCAGACTTCTTTAAGACATCCAAATCTGAGCTGCAGGCTTGAAAAAGTTTGATATAATTGGATGGAATTCTCCTGTTTGAAAATCTGGCTGAACACCTGAGACACCACAGAGAATCCAGGCTCAATTTAGGGCATTTCATTCTGCAGCAGGTTTGGGATTGCTTTAGGAAACTAAACTTTCAGTCTTTCATGCATCTTGAAGTGCAACTCACTGTTCCAGTAGGGATGAGATAAATCAGGTGTTTCCCTGCACAGTGTCTTTGCCCAGACCCCTCAGTGAAAATGAACTGATTCTCACAGTATATTTAACAGGGGTCTGGATAATTCCACACAGACAACTCCCACCGTTGCCTCAGAGGTTGCCAGTCTAGGGTCCAATCCAGAGGCCACCAAAGACAATGGGAGAAGATAAAGACACTGATAGAAAGGAGCCTGAGAAAAGGAATAGAGTGTTGAAAAGGGGAAAAAAAGAGTCAGAAAAGATCTTAAGCATTTACAGTTTGTACCAAATCCTTAACTTTTGAGCTGGGGAACTACTACTTTGCTTTAGGTGATCTGATTGTGTCAGAGAACAGCATCATCTCATAGTGAAAGTTACTCTATAAAGCACAGTGGAGTTTTATTTATCCTAGAAATCCAACTCTGCACAGGGTTTTGTCCCTGCTTGTCAGCGCTGCTTCGCAAACAGGAAAGTCTATTGAAATTTAGGTGGGTAAACTTACAAACCAAACTTTGGGTAAAGATTTCCCAGCTTTGTATTTCTCACTGTGAACATTTAATTAGAAGTGTTGCCAGGAAGGTATTTGTACATGTGCAGGTGAGTTTCTCACCTCAGTGACTCACTTTGCAGCAGCTTTCCAGATCTGATATTTGAGCTATACTTAGATTATCAATTTAGAAAGCTTTGTCGGATTCAAACCTCAACACAGGCATGAGATGAGAAATATTAATGTACCATGTGACATTCTCTTGCTGCTTTCCAATGACACTGAGCTCTGCTTTCTCTGCATGTTTCTCTCAGCGTCCTTGCCCTGACTGTTCAAATCTCACTTCCACCCAGAAGATGCTGTGGGGTCACCTCCTGCTGCACAGCCTCTCCTGGGAGACTGGTACCCCCACGGGGAGGTACAGCAGGATGAAATCCCAACAGGAGAAGGAGCAGTTGGCATTGTCCTGCATGATTTTAGCCATGCTGTAGTGGTGTGCATGGCCACGTTTGGCAGTGGTAGGGGTACAGGGGTGACTTCTGTGAGAAGCTGCTGGAAGCTTCCCCACGTCCAGCAGAGCCAACACAGAGGCTCCAGGGTGGGCCCACCACTGTGCCAAGGCCAAGCCAGTCAGTGGTGGCACCAGCACCCCTGGAATAACTGATTTAAGAAGGAAAAAGAGGTTGTTGTGAAGAAGCAATTGTGGCCAGAGAAGAGAGGAGTGAGGAACAGCTCTGCAGACACCGAGGGCAGTGGAGAAGGAGGGGGAGGAGATGCTCCAGGTGCTGTGGCTGAGGATCCCCTTGGCTTGTGGTGAAGACCATGGTGAGGCAGCTGTGCCCCTGCAGCCCCTGGCACAGGAGAGAGGAGACCCACACGGAGCAGAGTTCCTGGGAGGACCTGTGACCCTGTGGGGAACCTGTGCTGGAGCTATCCTCAGGGCTGGACTGCACCTGTGCAGAGTCTGGAGGGGACTGTGGCTCCCACTCCTGTCTCCCTGTGCCGCGGGGAAGGAGGCAGAGCTGGGCCCCAGGGAGAGCTGGCTGAGTGTGTTTTTAGGGTCTGTGTTGTCACTCATTCTCCTGCTCTGATCCTGTTAGTACTAACATCACTAAACTCCCCCAAGCTGAGCCTGTTTGGTGCCGTGTTCAGCGAGTGATGTCTCTGGTCCTTGTCCCACGCCTGGGCTGGGGCAGTCCCTGTCCCAGTGTGTGCAGAGGGACAGCCCTGGGCTGGGGCAGTCCCTGTCCCAGTGTGTGCAGAGAGACAGCCCTGGGCTGGGGCAGTCCCTGTCTCAGTGTGCAGAGGGCTGTGCACAGTCCCAGGCTGTGTCAGTCCCTGTCTCAGTGTGTGCAGGTGTCTGGGCCCTGGGCTGTGACAGTCTGTGTGTGTGCAGGTGTCTGTGCCCTGTCCCCGGGCTGTGTCAGTCCCTGTCTCAGTGTGTGCAGGTGTCTGGGCCCTGGGCTGTGACAGTCTGCCAGTGTGTGCAGAGGGACAGCCCTGGGCTGGGGCAGTCCCTGTCCCAGTGTGTGCAGAGGGACAGCCCTGGGCTGGGGCAGTCCCTGTCCCAGTGTGTGCAGAGGGACAGCCCTGGGCTGGGGCAGTCCCTGTCCCAGTGTGTGCAGAGGGACAGCCCTGGGCTGGGGCAGTCCCTGTCCCAGTGTGTGCAGAGGGACAGCCCTGGGCTGGGGCAGTCCCTGTCCCAGTGTGTGCAGAGGGACAGCCCTGGGCTGGGGCAGTCCCTGTCCCAGTGTGTGCAGAGGGACAGCCCTGGGCTGGGGCAGTCCCTGTCCCAGTGTGTGCAGAGGGACAGCCCTGGGCTGGGGCAGTCCCTGTCCCAGTGTGTGCAGAGGGACAGCCCTGGGCTGGGGCAGTCCCTGTCCCAGTGTGTGCAGAGGGACAGCCCTGGGCTGGGGCAGTCCCTGTCCCAGTGTGTGCAGAGGGACAGCCCTGGGCTGGGGCAGTCCCTGTCCCAGTGTGTGCAGAGGGACAGCCCTGGGCTGGGGCAGTCCCTGTCCCAGTGTGTGCAGAGGGACAGCCCTGGGCTGGGGCAGTCCCTGTCCCAGTGTGTGCAGAGGGACAGCCCTGGGCTGGGGCAGTCCCTGTCCCAGTGTGTGCAGAGGGACAGCCCTGGGCTGGGGCAGTCCCTGTCCCAGTGTGTGCAGAGGGACAGCCCTGGGCTGGGGCAGTCCCTGTCTCAGTGTGCAGAGGGCTGTGCCCTGTCCCGGGCTGTGACAGTCCCAGTGTGTTCAGGTGTCTGTGCCCTGTCCCAGGCTGTGTCAGTCTCTGTCTCAGTGTGTGCAGGTGTCTGTGCCCTGTCCCTGGGCTGTGTCAGTCCCTGTCTGTGTGTGCAGGTGTCTGTGCCCTGTCCCTGTCCCCCGGGTCACTCACCGTCGCTGCGGATCCCCAGGGGTGCAGGGGGTCCCTGCACACTGTGCTGTGTGTCCTCACTGCTCACCACGCAGCTGTAGGTGCCAACGTCCGACGCCTCCACCTTGGCCAGGTAGAGATTTCCCGTCTCCTGGGAAACGAAGCGCCGCTCATCTTCCTGAAGATACAAGGTATTATTGTTGAAGATCCATGTATAGGACAAGCCTAGAAAACACCAGACAGGTATCACACATCCTCCCCAGCTCTAACCTCCTGCCCTGCCTGTGGGAACCGGAGGAAGCTCCAGGGCAAAGCACTGGGGAGGCACAAATTAGCAAAGCAAACGCTGCTTTAGTTTGAAACTCATGTCAAGCTGCTTCAGGAGGTCACACGAGTTTTTGGCCCCTGCTAGTTTTCACTTGAGTGCTCAGCCTGTTTTCAAGCAGGAGTGGCAGTGCTGCAGTGGCATCAGAGAGCTGCTGGGGAAACCACTTCTGTTCAGAGCACTTTCCCTCTGAAAATCCAGAGGGCAAATTGCTGGGCAGGGCTACAGCTCCTTTCCTCACCCCCAGCATTGGAAGAGGGAACTGGCAGCATGGACCTTTATCAGAAGTGTTTCACCAAGGAGAGGATCTCGCCTGCACACAAGTATTTTGGAGATTACTTGCTGTTTCTATCATATCAAACATTTGCTAATTATACATCTCCTTATCTTCCATACTTAGATCTGTTCCATACTTCTTGCCCTGTTCTGGCTTCCCATCCCTTCTCTGCCACCTTTTCCCACAGGATATTTCACAAAGCACACCTTAATAATGTATCTTCAAAACAGCAGGCAAAACACCTTAAAACCTCCTTACAAAACCCTTACACATAGTCCAGGCAGCTTAAAACCAATTAATTTGCCCATCCCACCCTGGAAAGGCAGATGTCCCTGGGAGTTTACCATCCAAGGACTCTGCTTTTGGGACAGGTTTTTGGCCTGGGCTTGGGCACTGCTGCCAGGAGCAGACCCAGTGCTCAGCACTGTGCACACCAAGGTCGTGCCAGGCTGTGCTGCAGCTGCACCACATCCCCCCAGCACCCCCCAGCAGGAGCTGGGCTGGAGTCCTGTCTCTTCCAAGCCTCCGTAAATCAGAAGTTTCCAACTCTCCCAGTTTAGCTTTCCTTAATTAAATGCATAATTCATAAGTGAACAGTGTTCTGCCAACAGCTTCATTTTTACGCATTTCCCCCATCGACAATCCCATTCAAAAGAGATTATTTACGTTGCCTCTCCCCCCTCAGCTGCAGCCTGGGAACAGTATGGTAATAAGGCTGCAAACTCCAGTAGTTTTGGGGAGTTTTATGTCATCAGCTTCCAAGGTTTTAGGCCTCTCATTAGAAATGATGCATCTCCAGGGAGCAATCAATGACACTTTCTGTACTTGGCTAAATCCTGCACCAGACTCAGTTTTACTATGGCTTAATGCTGAACTCCTTTTGACACCTACAGTAAAACTGGAAGACACAATTAATTAAGTGTAATACAACATGTGTGCACATCTACACAGGATAAAAGCCCCATGTTGTCACATTTTCATGCCCATGTACTTTTTGGTACCTGATTAAAGCAGCTATTTCCAGGAGAAAACCTGGAGATCAGTGGGGTTTCCCCCAGGAAGGAGCAGCTAGAAATAAGTGCTGTAGCCATGACTTGCTGTGTCTTCCAGAGATATATAGACTGTTTTCCTGTCTCAGGCACAGAGTTTGCTGACTATAGTTTGGCCGGACAAAGCTTGGGCCAAACTCTAGTTTCAAACTATAGTTTGGCCGGACAAAGCTTGGGTCAAACTCTAGTTTCAGCTCCTTTTTTGGAGGTTTCTAACCTGTAAACTAGGGACTCTGAAGTAAATGCTGAAGATTTGCAAGGCAAATAATTTAATGTGTATTCAGTTAAACTGTATGTGGCCAGCCTGGGATTTCTGTGGGAGAAATGCCTTGGATCTGCCATCTCCTCAGACTTCCCAAGGACCCCTGAGGTCTGATGCCCTGATGTCCCTTTCCTACCACCTGGAGCCCCTGCTGTCCTCACACTGACCTGCCAGGACACCACATGTGTTCCCAGGAAGGACCTTTAGACCCTCTCATGGCCTGAAATCAGCCCAGACTCCTGCTGTGGGGCCTGGTGATGCAGCTTAGCTCTCTGTGTAGGATGGAGTATAACAAAACTCTGTTAAACCCAACTTTATGCCACCCAGACGTTCTTCACGAGGTCAACCTGTGAATTAATTAATCAGCAGAAGAGAACCAGACCTTCCCTGGCCTGATTTCAGTTCTCAGGGGGTTCCAGCTGACTTCATTTTCTGTCCCTGTCTGCACTCCCCCATTGCTTCAGGGCCTATTGCTGAATTAACTGGGAATAAGCAAAGGCTTTTCATGTTTAAATCCCTTTTCCCCCCAGTGTGAGGGATATAAACACTCCCCCTCTCCTAACTGCAGGTTCAGCACCACCCAACTTCAGGCCATGCTTGCCTGGAGCCTAATGCAGCTCCACTAAACTCTGCAGAAACCCTAATTTTAATTGACTTCAGAGGGAGTTGGATGAAATCTCAAGAGGAAGGAGCCAAACTTTGGAGAAGGAACTTTCTTCCCCTTTTAAGGCATAATATGAGCACTCCAGTCCTTCACACAGCATCTTGGAAACCTTATCAACAGGTAATAGAGTAGGAAATGCAGTGCTGTGTTATAAAAGAAGCTTTTGTTACTTAAACTTTTCCATATATAGTTATTATAATAGTTATATCTAATATAGCAATGATAATAATGTATAACATAATGCTTATTATAACTATCATAGTGATATATTAATAGTAGCTGCCTCAAACAACTGCTGTACAGAGGTTTTCTGCCTTCCTTCAAGGTCTGCACTGGTTGCAATCTCTGTCTGCTAAATTGGAGAGGAAACTCAAGAGCAATTTTATGAGTCTTAAGACACATTACAGAGCTTGTGTTTTCTTACTGGTGCTAACCTTACAGGAAAGGCAACTCTTTTCCTGCTGGTGTGGTTGTATCTCCCCAATTCCTTGGTGTTTCTCTAATTCCTGCCACACTTACAGGGCTGTACAGAGCAGTGTAATGGGAGCTGTAAGCACAGCTGGTCATCCTTCCTCCTGGAGGCATTGAGTGAGAGGCAAGGGCTTCAATTAAAAAGAAAAAAAGACCTAAGTATACAATCCTTTGCAATAAAAACAACTTCCTAAGCATCCTGAGATAGTATGAGACGTATCTTAGTTCACACCATGTACTTCATCCCTGTGGCATATAATTTGGGATCCTAAACACAGTGTTTATGGATGACAAAGGAACTCGGTTTCTCTTCTCCAGAGACTTGTTATTTCAGTGACTGTGCTTTCCAGGCCTGTTGGTCAGCAGCTCACATCCCCAGCTGAAAAACTCTGTGGCTTTGTTCGTGGACACCTTTTTGTCAGCTCAGTTAATCTGGGCTGAACTCACCTGTTAACTATTTATTTGTTCTGAATCTTTTCTTCTACTTGCTCCTATTTGTCAAATCATAATTTCAACCTACAGCAAGAGGAAAATATATAGTTCAGTGGCTCAAGGATGGATGTGTTGTCTTTCTGTCTGTCCCACTGATACATTTCAGGAGCTCTTTCAAGCCTTTTGTGCCCTTAAGGGCCAAGTTTCACTTCATCTCCTTGATTATATCTTCCCTTCATATGGCTGTAAATACCCAGAGAACTGTCATTTCCTCTCCCTTCAGGACCTGAGGGTTTAAACTGACTGATGGCTCTCCCTCCCTGATACACTGCATCCTCTTTAGAGTTCACCATTTACCTTCCCCTGGGAATTTGTTCCTTTCAGAGGGGTTGGGGGTGCTGAGAGCAGGATGTTGGCTGGGGAGAGCTGCAGCTCCTGGGGATGTGTGGTCACTCCTGCCAAAAGCAGGACGTGAGTCACTGTAGAACTGCTGAGGCTTTCAGTGCAGAACAAGGCAATTTAACTATGCTATTGATATTTCCCCTTAATTAATATACATTTGCTTTCCAGGGTAAAATTTTCCATCTCTTCAGCTAGTTAGGAAAACACAGTTCTTATTCCAGACTTCAAAGGATCTGAAGCAGTTTTGTGCTGGGCTCTAACAGCCCGTGAGGAGATTTGTGAATGAATGTGGCTCAAAATTTGCAAGAGTCAAAGCTGGGGAAAAATAATAGGGCTCAAAAGATTATTCAAGAGCTTCTCACTGCAGGGAGGTACATGAAGTGTTAAGAGAAAATGATAACAGCAGTGTACATAAATGTTTGAGTCTTTATATTGCTCTGTGACTGCTGATGGTGGTGGTGATAATACACCTACAAATAGGGAGAAAAGGACAATTTCATCCCATACTTAGACAAAAAGTCTGAAACATCATTCTCAGTGCACCACTGGATCATTGGGCATCACCTGGACTTTACCTCACCCAGGGGAACACATCAAAGCCTCATGGGGAAGAAGCATCAGTAGCAATAGAGACAGATGGAAGGATCCCTCAAATCAGTTCCACACAAAACTCCTTTTCATTCTCTATCTGAAGCACTGAAAATTACCAAGAAACCTGATCTAATCAGCCTCCCTTTAATCAAGGAGTTTACCTCTCCACAAGCCCCTTCCAATTTCCATTTTTCTGTGATAATCAGGAAGGAGAAAATCAGGTCTTCAAGAGCAGAAGACAAATCTTCAGGACAAATCTAATGTGTATAATGCAGGATTCAAATTATAACCCTGAAGAAGCAATAAGAGGCAAAATAGTTGTTCCATTCAGACCTGGAGTGGTTGTGATGTAGAGAGAATTGCTGATGGTTGGTTTTCTGCCTGTGTGTGGGTGAAGGAGGTGAGACAACCCCTTATGTCATCAGTCTGTCACAGCCAAAGGGTCCTGTCCCACAGAGCATCCCTGAAGAAGTGCAAACCTGTGTCTCCCACAGGAGTTAACCCCGAAGGTGCTGTAAATGCACACAGGAGTGGCAGGGGCAGGAGAGCAGCTGCTGCTCAGGCTGAGCACAGGGTCACTGGTCATACCTCCATGGTGTGGGGGAGGCCCACAGAGCAGCACCACTCCTTGTCCTTCTCTGACTGACACCGTGCTCCTCGCTTTGGTTTCAAAGCTCTCCAGATCTTGAGAGAGAAGGAGAAAACAAGACCTGGTTATTGTCTGTCAGGTTTGCTCCTGGCTGCAGCCCAACTTAGCCAGCTAAGTACCTCAGAACAGATTCAAGATGTGACTAGAAACACTGCAGCTCATCCAACCTGTTGCCATGGAATCATTAAGACTGGAAAAGGCCTCTAAGATCATGAAGCCCAACCATTGTCCAGTCATTTGGCCATTATGAGACCCCCACAAAGCCATTAATACTCCACCCCAAGTGTTTGTGTTTACAATATCTAAACGTCGAGTTACTTTATTGCTCCATGACTTTTTCTAGCATCAGTTCTTGGAGCTTACAAGGCTCTTGATCTAGATGAGTTGGAAAAATACCTCATTTTGTGGTGTTTCCTTTTCTTATGGGAATAAAAAGCAGGTGTGTTGCTCTATATATACAAGTGATAATTAACCATCATCAGGACTCCCACAGAGAGTATGCTGAAATGATGAGCAAAGTATGATGTCTTCTTAATGAGGCTGTTCTGTTCTAAACTGGCTGCAGGAGATGGATATGGTTTAATTGGCTTGGAATTTAACACTGGTTTTAAAGGGGAGAGTGAGGGTAATTCCAGTAGGAAAACATGTGATGGTTTAGGGGAATCTCCTGTACAAACCTATATAAACACCCATAGGTGATTTTTCTGGCTATTAGCATCTACTTTTTGACCAAATCTAGCACCGCACTCGATCTCTGGGAGCTTCACTGAGATTGTGGAGAATTGCAGCCTGATTCCCTTCACCAGTTCAATCACAAAGCATGTCAGAGTAGATGTCCTTTAAAAGATGATTATTTCCTTTTTGATGGAATTCTCACCCAGATGAGAAACCTTCCTTTTACTCCGAGTCACCTGGGAATTGATTGCTTGAAATCCATTCCCAATACGCTTCAATCCAATAAGTATCAGCTTCCCCTTAAAGCTCCTTATGCCTTACTGCTGTTTACTGCTTGCCCTAAGCTTATTTTCTTTACCTTCTGCAGCTTCTTGTTTCAAACAATTGTCCCATTTTTCAGCAACTGAACAGCACCCAGAGCTCAGCAGAGAAACAGCTCTCGCTGGCCGGAGCAGGTATGATTGCTACCTGTACAGGCTCAGCTATTTGTGTCAATATATCAATTTTCTCTCCCTTAGCTGAACTTTACACCGTTAATTTTTCTTTTCCTCCTCTTCATCTCTTCTCTATTGGTCTCCTATGAAGACATTGTCTCCTCAGAGGGGACTGAATTGAATTGGGCAACTGCAGCACCTCCTTGTGCTGTCACAGCCACAATAGATGGTTCCTGTCAATACTCTGAGAAAGGGTTTTAAACTCTGATCTTCCTGTAATTGCCTGCTGCCTAGACCTTTGCCTTGCACTCTGGGCAGTCCCAGGGGAGCAAAAAGACAATAAAGTGCAAAGAAATTAATTTAGTTAGTTTTATTCCATCCTGCAATACTCTTTGGAAAGAAAACAGTGGATGATGCAACATGACTTTAGAGTTTGGTATCATACTTAGTAGGTACTTACTGGTGTGGACTCTGAGTGTGGGAACCATTATGTACCTGTTTGAAAATTCAGCCCGAGACAATTTAGCATATTCTTTGGCTTTTCTTTCCTGGGGGTCAAGTGTTTGATGAGAAGGGAGAAGCAGCACAAAATATTTGTGTGGGAAATGTTGTCCCAGGGACAACTGGCAAGAGGTTAGATTGCTCGGGGTAGCTGCTCGGAGGCTTTGTGCTCTGGAGAAGGGGGAAAAGACCCTCAGATTTCCCTATTTATTATGTTAAATAGAAAAAATACTGGAAAGGTACAAAACATTCAGATTTTTTAGGATGAGGCACTAACAGGAATGGTGACACTTCCCTTTCCTACCACTTTCCTTAAGCTGCTAATGCAATGCAAACTGCAATTTCCTCTTAAAAATGGAGTTAAAAAACAAACCAAACTCTTGGGCAGCATGGAAAAGATGAGAACTCTAACCAATGGTTTCTAATCCTTTTCACTGGGGAAAATCAGACCTATTTTTTCCCTGAGAACAAAATTCCCTCTGTTATGAGACCCCTGAGAGAGGAGGGGGAGGAAAAAGTAAGCTCAGTGCAGCAGCAGGAAAAGGTTTTCCTGACAACTGAGAATTAGCTGTGTAATACTTTAGTCTGAAATTGGAATAGAGTTTGGAAAGTAATGAGTTGCTAGTAGCAATTTTTAGTTTAATGACACAATAAGTCATGGTATCATTTTTCCTGTAATTTTAGGTGCTGTGTCACCTGTCTCTGTTTCTCCATTAAAACCTTGACAAGTAGCCCTGACTTGAATAATTAAAGAGCAGAACTAGATCTCTTCTGGGATCCACAATTTTATAGGTAGCAGGACTAGTTTTGGTTGTGTCATCCCAGACTGGCCCACCCCCTGCCCAGGCAGGGACACCTTCCCCCAGCCCAGGCTGCTCCAGCCCCATCCAACCTGGAACACTCCAGGGCTGGAGCAGCCACAGCTGCTCTGGGCACCCTGTGCCAGAGCCTCAGCACCTCACAGGGAGGGATTCCATTCTAATATCCAACCTAATCCCACTCTCAGTTTAAAACCATTTGGGGAAAAATTTGACTTTGCCTTTTTCATCTCCACTTTTCAACCCTGAGCATCAAAATCTGTTTCCAGGAGTTTTTGCTCTTTCATAGCATCTTTGTGGTTTGGTTCTACAAAGCAACTCTGCTTTCCCAGTGCTGGAGAGAGCATTGTTATCCCTCTATGCTTCCCAGTGAATCACAGGTATAAATGAGTAGCTGTGGAGGCACTTAAATGGCCATTTAATCTTCATCTCACTCATGACAAACACAGGTATTCGATGTCCTTATTTAACCCAGTTTTAACGATCTCGGGGGTCTAATTTTTTTTAGCCACTTTTTTAGTGCTTGATTCTGAGGTCTTCATCACTCTGCATCTTCTAGCAACCCTCACCCCCCAAATTTTGTAGCTTTAAACAATGATGATCGTATTTTTCCTCTCTGAAGTCAATTTTGATAGATAATTGTGCCCAGTGAATTTATTCAGTGTCTCTGTGCTAAAGACTCGTTGAAGAATAACAAACCCCAAACCTCTGAAAGAGCAGCCCAAAGCAAAAGAGATTAAAATCATGCATTAATGGAGTGTTCCTTGTGTTTTCATCTTCACTGGGCTGTGTCTCCAGGCAGGCAGCATCTCCCATGAAATATTATGACACCTCATTCAGATGGGCTCAATAATGAGCTATAAAATTTGTTATACAACCCAGGGGGGTGAGGAGGGGGAAGAGCTGGATCATCAAATAGAATGTTCCTCTTTGCCCCAAAGATTTCTCCATTCATTTCCTCCCCTATGGGCTTGTGTGTGTTTTCTGTGATTAATTGCAAGCTCCAATGTGTTAAGTACACATAAAAAAATGACCTAAGGATGAATATAAATGTAAATATTGTACTTTGCTATTGTTATTCTGCTGTTTTAGCTGCTCTCAAAGCCACTTGTCTTTGCCCTGAGCAGACACTTCCAGCAGGAGAACACAGCCCCTCTGTTCTGCAGCTCCTGTTACCTAGCATGGCTCTAAAACAGAACATGACATAATCTAATAGAGCACAGTGTTGCTTGTCAAGAAGAGGAGCACAGAAGATTGCTAAGATCAGGTGTTTGGCACACATTTAGATTGCTAATATGCACTTAGGAATAGGCTGACTATTTAACAGATGGTAGATTTGCTAACTTCAGGGTTTCTGCAGAGATCTATAAATAAATTATCACCTAGTTCCTACATAATTCCTTTCAGTCTTTGTCTGTATTTATCTCACTTGAAGAACAACGAGTTCCATCACACTCTATTGCTCTCTCAGCTGTGAGTTTTAACAAAAAACCAACTTTTTCCCCCAGATCTCTGCCTGTGGGCAGACTGTGATGGGTACAGCCCCGTGTGTCAGTTGGGTGTGATAATGAGCTCACGGAGGCTGAGGATGAACAAGTGGTTCTTCACAGGGAGGAGTGGGGATGTATGGACTCAGCTGTGTGTGGCAAGAGTCAGTGCTTTGTCTGGGAACTTTGCAGACCTAAGAGTGTGCTCACAAGGCCCAAAGCATATGGAGTGTGGTGGGAGTGGGTTAGGGAAGCAAAGTGCTTTCTGTGGGAACACGGGAGGTGAAGGAAGCTTCTGGCTCCCCAAGAGGAATGAAGGGTGGAATGGGGAGGAGGAAAGGGCCAGAGCTTTTTCCACCTGCTCTAAGGCAATATTACTCCAGTGGGGTCATGGAAGTTATTGTGGAAGCACAGCCTGGTTTGGGTTGGAAGGGCCTTAAAGTTCACCTAGTTCCACCCTTTGCCATGGGCAGGGAACCTTCCAGCAGCCCAGGGTGCCCCAAGCCCATCCAGCCTGACCTTCTGGAGCTTTATGGCAGCAAAGGGTATGCCCTGCAAGTCTTCCCTGTGGATATTCAAGCAGAACAAAAAGAGAAGTTGCAAAGAATATCATTCTTGGACGAGGATGAGCAGCAGTAGCTTCACTGAGTACAGAGCTGTGAGCTCTGTGAGCTGCAAACCCACAGCAGAATCACAGAATCATCAAGGCTGGGAGAGACCTCTCAGTTCATGGAGTCCAACCATTAACCTGTCACCCACTGCTGGGTGAGGTGTTTACCTGAAATGATGATCTATGGAGATGGAAATGAACTGTAGCTGATGTACAGAAATGTTTCCTGTTAAACTACTTGTGCTAATTAATAGGTTAATTAATAGGTTCAGCCACACAGGGTTTTTCCTTAGTGTTTTAAAGCTCAGCACTGACATAATCACAGAGTCACAAACTGGTTTGGGTTGGAAAGGACCTTCAAGACAATCCCCTGTCACGGGCAGGGACACCTTCCCCTAGACCAGAAGGCTCCAAGCCCCATCCAGCTGCTGCCTGTGTCATCAACACATTTATTCTAATTTCCCCACCACTACTCCCCACACATCTGAGTTGGTTTTGGTTCTTTCCTAT